GAACGGATTAACCATAATTACATTGAACCTTATGGGAAAATTTGATTCAGGTTGCAACCAATTCGGGTTGCGACCAAAGTCGCGGAACGAATTAAGTTCGTGAACCGAGGTACCACTGTACTTCATGCCTCTGGAGAATTCAACCATAGCCCATAAAAGCTACCCTTCCTAAGTTGTAAGTACTAAATGGGACAGAGCAACCTCTGTGGAAATCTGGGAATGGAAATGTAAGCATAATCATGGGAAAACAAAACCTAGGAATGTTAGGGAAGAAAAAAGTCTGGAAGGAGAGAACATCCATCAAGAGGTCTATGCTGAACATGTGCCAGAAGCATGTAGAATTCAGTAGTAGTAAGTAATATCCTTCTCTGTCTCTATTTAACGCCTGAGCTTCTATGGAAACTAATTCGGTTTTCCACCTAGCTGTGCTAAGATTAACCTTTTAAAATTCAGCAGGGTCAGAAATAGTACCTGGAAGTGATTGATGATGGCTTCTCCTTTAGTTTTTAGCTGGAGGTGCCAGAAAGGCAAGTCTGCCAGCCCCAAATGTAACAAATACCTTTATTTTCACTCACAGCACTAAGTGATAATATAGTCTATCTGGTTTTGGCTTAGTGTGTGAGGTCAATCCAGACACGTTGATTTATAAACCTTAGTTTCTAGATTAGCCCGATCTATGAGCCAGCATTTTTCAAGAAATCATGACCAAGCAAAATTCAGCCTGGCATGATGCATTGAGCTCCATCACTGTCCCGAGACCAGGACTTCCAGATCTTCAGTCCTGGGTCAAGCCCTTCTCTCAATCCTCTCACTCTTCTGGTTGAGATGCCAGACAGTAAATCCAGGTCTTTGGATCTGTACTAAAGCAGAGACATCCCTTCTGTTTTAAAACAAATGTAAATAATGATTTTTATAAGTGGACTTTGTGGACCTGCTTCTAAGGTGAAAATGAAGAACTGAAAACAGAAGGTATTCAAGAAATATTTGACATGGCAAATCAGAATACTTTCTTGTGACTCTCTTTAGACTATATCTTTGCAGACTGGAGTTATTTTTATTTTATGTCCGGTAGATTTAAGGCATGGTATTCTTGGCAAGTTTTTTTCAAAAGTGGTTTGCCCTTGCCTGCTTCCTAGGGCTGAGTGTGTGTGACTGGCCCAAGGCCACCCAGCTGGCTTTGTGCCTAAGGCGGGACTAAAACTCATGGTCTCCTGGTTTTTAGTCTGATGCTTTAACCACTACACCAAGCTGGTTCTCATTGGTAGAAATAGTAATTAATTAATTAGAAGAATCAGCATATTTTATATGGCAGTATACAATGGACATACCATTTTTAATATATCATTTTAAACTGTCTATATAACTTATTAACTGTTTTCTTTTATCTAAAAAGTGACACAAAATGAAGTTCTTGAGACATAGCTCAGTGGGGATTTTCTGCAACGGCAGTATAATTTTAGATGGTACAGATTGATTTGTTTATTTTCAAAGTGAATTAGAAAGCCTTTCCTTACCAGGCATAAAAGGTCAACTAGTTGTAAATTCTAATTCTGTTTGCAGTCCAGGCAGAAACATACCAACATTTATAGCTTCTCAGAGCTACAGTGGTTGAATGATAATGGTGCCACTCAGTCAAGCCATGTGTAGTTTGCTAGGGAAATGATTTATATTTTTGCTTTTCTGCTTGGACTCCTTTTAAAGCACTTTCATAAGGGAAATGTAAAACATTTAAGCTAATTATAGGCATAGATTCCATGCCCGTGTACATTTTGCTAATGAATTTTTTTAAAAAAATTGAGAAGGTAACTTAATATTTACACAAAGAAAAGCCAAATTCCACTATGAGCAGATTTAAACAGATTTGCACTGATTTGATTTTTAAAATAAAATTTGCTTCTGCTAATTACAGCAAGTTAAAAATACTTTTTTTATCTAGGTTTTTAAAAATGTTTTATGCTGCTAACTATAGAATTCTTAATATTTCTGTTTGTGTATAGAGTCCAGCACCATGCTAGAGTGGGTGGCATATACATTTGTAAAATCAGATTAGTAAATAAAGACCTTGAGGGAGACCTGGAGATCTCCTATAAGAACCAAGAATCTCTGTGACTCTGGCCAACTTCATAGACATTTTCCATGTGCTTGTAGGCCTATGTATAAACTAATGGAATGAAATCATGCTTTACAAAAACCATCCACGTTTCTTGGGGTGTCGAATACCCATATGTGCGCGTGTTTGTCTTAGCACTTTAAATATTATCCCCCCTGTACTATTTGCATAAATCACCACTGTAGTTCCTTTAACATTTTGCAATATTTATGTATTTCGAGGAACATGCAAACTTGGAATGTTATCTGAGCAAGACAAAAATAGTTTACATTGTGTGTGTGTTTGTGCTTCAGTTCTCAAATAAATGTTATTTTTAAGTGAATGCCCAGACAGCAACTTCCTAGAGCTGTGTTTACAGAATGCTCTAACTCATGATTAACTGAACCATAATTAATTAGATTAACTGAACTGCCTAGGTTCACACAACACTGAATTATAAACTAACCACAGGGACAGGATTTGCATGAGATCAAGCCACATGCTATCCAGCTGAATTTGCCCAATATAATCAGCCAAAAACCTTTCAGCCTAATGTGTTGTGTGAATCCAGACTAACTTGTGGTGTGGTGTTAAGCTACAAGTCTCAGAAGCCAAGTAGTCTTAAAACATCAGTCTAATTTAGGAACCTTTAGACAGGGTTCACATATCACAGAGCTACTGGCTGTATTTGCACAACATGGTAATCCAGGGTTCCCTCAGTCTTTGAATTCATCTGTAAGAATTCATTTTACAGGGCGGCTCACACAACATAATCCAACTTTGCCAGCTGGATTTTCATGATGCACTAAGCCACAGCCTATCAGAGCACATTTTAGCTTAGTGTGTGGAGGAACTCAGCCAGAATGCATGGTTTGGGCTTTAATGAACTGCATGTACCTAGACATTGTGGTTTCTACACAATGGAGCATAACAGTTGTGGTTTCTTCAATAAATCATGGTTCAACAAAC